ATATTCTGTGTTCCCCGTCTTGCTCCACCCCCAGCCCCCCCCCCCCACCACCACCACCCCCCCAACCCCTTTATTCCGGCTAAGGTTTGAAGGAAGACGGGGAAAATAACAGGTCTTCAGGGCTGGCTGGTGCTTGAGTGGCTTTTATTAAATACAGCAGGACTCTTTGGAAAAGCTCCAGAGGAGGAGAGCAAGGCCATAGCAACAGAAGGACTAGTTCTGACCCCCTCCTTGTCTCCTCTTTCTTTCTCCCTACAGCTATGCACCTGTCTCTTTTTCACCAATACTAGCTCGGGCTGTCAACATTTGTCTGATTTCACTTTTTCAATCTCCCTTTCCCCCCTGGTCTCCCATCCTCTCTGCCCCCCCGTATCTCCCCTCCCCTCTCTCTCTCTCTTTCTCTTTCTCTATCTCTCATATCAACCAATAGCAGAAGTCCTGCTGGAGTTCACCTGTTTGCAGATGACTCAACAGCACTGAGGATACAGTAAATCAGGGAAATATATCTCACACCACTCCTTCAACATGTCACTGTGCTATGAGGTTAAAGTAAAACTCTGACTTTTGCTCAGGGAATTATTCAACACGAACGTTCTGGTGATAGATTGATATTTTCCTCCCCGTAGGCTGAAGAAAAATGTAACGTCTGCTAATGTAAAGTCTGACATTAGAGCAGATTATTGTGATTGTTGCTTTTTTGTGTGTAAATAAAGCAGGGAACAATGTTTGTTTGACAAAAACAAACTAATGTTGTCAATGGAAGTAAATCTCCCTTTTTTTTCGTTCATCAGAAATTAAGGAACTTTATTTATTTATTTGCTGCAAATATGCAACAGCAACAGGCAGAAGAATGAACTCTTCCAATAGGTGGCAGTATATGGCTAAAAAAAACTAAAAAGAGACTCAGACATTTTTGAAGGAGATCTTTAAGTGCGTCTTTCTTCAATTCCTGTGAGCATATCAGGGCTGTGTTTCACTAAAGAGGCCCTGATTTCACAGTAAAAGAACTTAAACTGAAAGATCATTATTTTTTATTCCATATACTAATGACAGCCAAAAAGTATTTGACGCAGATGAAAGGGTAAAGGTGAACATTAAGTACCATCAGTCATACTATGGACCATAACTGAAAGGAGGATGTATTTAAGGAGCAGGTTGTGAAGGTTAGGATGATTCTGGAAACTGTTGGTCCTTTATGCACTCACTCATTAAATGCTGTATCGATTGGTGAGGTTTAATTCTACATTTGTCTCTCCAACCTCCAACCATTTTAAATACAGTATCCATTCTGTAAACAGTCAGTAATTGGAGAGTGGTTCAAGTATTGCTGCAGAAACACTTCATGAATATATTCAGATCCAAAGCTCACGGTGCAGCTCTCTGCCTACCTGTGCTGAGAAGCAGAAGGACCTTCATGGAGAGGAACTCCTCGTAGCTCAGCTGCAGACGTACAAACTCCTGGCTGACCTGCCTCATGCCCACGCACAGGTCATACATGGCTGACTGCTGCATGCGGTCCCTGAAGAAAAAAAAACAGACAAAAAACACGACAGGGGTGAGCAAAGATTGAGGGAACAGATAGAAATTCTCAGTACACACATTTTAGAGTACTCTACTCTTTGCAGTACTCTAAAACTAGTATTTTAAAACTATCACTGGTCTCTACTGTACGTGATGACAACTCAGAGCTACATTACAAGATATTTCCACAGTGCGAGGATACTGCAAAAACACAGGAGTGAGAGCAGCGTTCAAGCCTCCACTCCTGCACTGCAATAACATCACAGCACAGATGCACCATTTTCAGAGACGTGCTCAAACCGAGGCTCTCGTATCTGAGCATCAGCAGCACAGAGAGGCCCCTCTGAGAAATACCACGTACCCGTATATTTACTCATACTCACTTTAATGGAGTACATAAAGCAAAAAAAATAAATAAATATCATCATTACATCACAGTTCACACAAACAGGAAAGAGACCACGTGAGCCAATCAGGAGTGTGTGCCGCAGATGCCTGAGATTCCCTTCTATTAACACGTGAGCCAATCAGGAGTGTGCGCCGCAGATGCCTGAGATTCCCTTCTATCTGGCATTTGGAAGGCCCCATAAATCACTATCACATCCAGACCAAAGTAATTAAAAGCAACTGGTGTGGCTTCACTTGAAAGAGCTGCGAGTCTCTCTGACAAAACAGAGAAACCGCATCTTTACTTAGGAAGCGAGGCTGGAGACTCCACGGTGATAACAGCCAGACTAAACATTGGAGCGAGGCTGAGAGAGAAGCTGCTAAATTCAAATGAGTGAACGTTGTTTTCCTGATACGACAGTCAGGACAAAGTCTAACACTATATACAGTACGGCTGAGTCTATTGAACTGATGAATAAGTGATAATGTCTGAGCAGCAGCAGCAGCACAACACCGTCCGAAGGAAACTCTGGGCTGGAGTTTCTTAAATCTCCAGCCATGTTTTCTTTGCTTTTCTCCCTCTCTCTCTCCCCCCTCGGCCTCCCCTCCTCCCCTCTCTCTCCACACCTTTCACCCTTGCTCCTCCTGAAATCAATTTTGCTGAATCACTTCCCAAAATGAGCCGCTGGTTGGAGAGGTGAGGAAAAAAAAAACAAACCCTGCAGCAGTGGCAGAAGAAGTCACGCTCCTTCTTCCTCTTTAATTTTCATCTTTCTCTCCCTCTCTCTCCCCTCCTCTATCTCTCTCTCTCACTCACTCACTCATTCAGGTTTACTTTCTGTCTTTTTTCTGTCAGTCTTGAACCTTCTCTCTGTCTCTGGCCAAACTCCAGGAGAGAACAGTCCAGATTCACCTTAGGCTGCAGGAAGTCAGAAGTCATGAAAATATATATGGTCAGAGGAGTATCTCCAGACGATTCACTACCGGGCAGTCGAAGGAATATTCTTAGAGTTTGTAGTAGAATGTAAAAAGCTGTCGTCCTGAAACTCGTATTCCATTTATTTAATCCCTATAAAATAAACCTCTTTGATTTCGTCAGTTGTGTCTTCAGTTGTCTAATGGAACGTGACGGAACGGCTGTAGGTCGTGGAACAATCCTTCACCTCGCGCTAAGTTGCTTTGTTCGAATTTAGTCTGACAGAGAGAACACTATTGTACTTCTGCAGTGTTTAAGACTACAGATCAAGGGTCTCAAACTCCTGGTCCGGGGGCCACTTACGGCCCACTCACACCCCTCATCTGGTCTGTGGATAATATAGTGTTTTAACATTTTTAAATTTAACTTCAAATTCTTTTATTTTCTCATTAAAATTATTTGGTCATTTAAAAAAAAATTGCCTGCTGTTTTAATTGTAGTTTTACACAGTACTTTTTATTAAACTCACTTTATCTAAAATACAATACATACAAGAATAAATATAATTCCAGAATATACCTACAACTTCAAAAACGTCAACTTCTGCAGTCTCTGCAGTAAAAAAAAAAAAAAAAGTTAGACTTTTATAGTTTTCTTTCTATAAAAAAAAACAAACAGGCTGAGCAGGGAGTTTCCTGTTGTAGGGTTGGTAAGAGCTGGTATTAATAGTCTAATCCAGTTCTGTGAGTCAAAGAATTAATTCCAGTGACCTAATTTTTGGGTAATGACCCATCGCTTGACGTTCTGATGCACAGATTAACTTTTAGACACGGATTAGGGTTTAAATAAATGTTTCATCTTCTCTTCACACTAATTTCTTCACGTTGTTATTGACTTAAATAGACCTGAGATTTTTTCCATGGGGAAAATGGGTCAAACTCATCTTTACAGATCAATTACGAATCGCACTTGCATCATTTTTTTTTTTATTATTAAAAACTATGACAAAGGATTTGCAGACGGTAAACCATCATAGTAAAGCTAATGTTTGCTCAACGCCTAGCTGTGTTTTTTAATATTTTGTACACATGGTATATTGGGAATCAAATGAAAAAAAAAAATCACAAACTTTAGACACGTGTGAGCTCACGTTTTTCAAACGCGTGTCCACGGCCGTGAGAAACAACACGGCTAGGTTTGAATTCTTCCTGGCACTTAGCTGCAACCACTTCCTGGTGACTGAGTTAGGGAAAGGCACAGTGACTCATTTGTCATTGGCCATAAAGACAATAGCCCTTATGTTTTTCTACTTCAAAAAAAAAAAAACAAAAAAAAAACAGAAGGCAGGGCATTAGAAGTCACTCAGGTTGTGTCTCGCTGATTGTAACTGATCATTTTATTTTCTTCCCATTAAAAGTCAAGTAAAAAGTCCCTATTGAGAACCTGATAACATGTATATTTTTATATGTACAAACCACCGTATGAATTGCTGCCACCTAGTGACTGGAGGCTTGTTTTTATTCAAGCATTAAAGCAGTGGTACTCTTATGTCCAGCGTGCCATATTCCCTGTGGCACCTCACCATGCACCCCCCCTTCCCCCCCCTTCTCCCGCTGATTGAGAAGTACTGCTTTAATGTGCTGTGTACATTTGTCATTACAGCAGTTACGCTCCGTGAGCGACGGTTGTTTGGTTTTTTTCACTAACAGCAAAGTGAGTGGACAGCCTGCTAAATTAATGCACTCTGTGCTCTGGGTTAAGAAGCACTTAGCATAAAACAAGTGACCGATGTCCATCCTCTAAAACCTCCAAACAAAGCTACGGCTGCTCTTCTCCCACTCTGACTAACGGCCGGCGTGCTGACCGTCGGTCATCTACGGCCGCTCTACTGCGTCGTCTCTGCTCAGGCCTGGCTTGTACCGCAGCTACAGACAATTCATTAATTCACATTCATTAACTCTTCACTTTATGATAAAAACTTCGCTGTCAGTTTCCCAGAGCCGTGCAGGAGAGAACAAGACAGTTTTCTTTTAATAATATGTTGATATTTGATGTGCTGAGCTGGGTGTGGCACAGTGGTGGAAAAGGTGATAATTGCTGACACCTGAATGTGTGTGTGTTTGTGTGTGTGTGTGTGTGTGTGTGTGCATTTGCAGTTATCACAAGAAAGAAATCCGTGACAATTGCTTGCGACACATTTTCAACAGCAAGGGAATTGAGTTTTAAGCAATTAAACACTTGTTTATGTTAAGTCAAAGTAAACTTTTGCTGCTGTGTCAAATACTAGAGAAGAAGTAGAACCTTTTATGTTTGTTTCTGTTTAACAGTGAGTCAAATGTCATAGAAAAGTGATTAACATCGTTCAACGCTCCCCCAGAGGGTGTAGTTTTGTCGTTTTGCCTTAAGCCATTGTGTCCATTATGTCATCAGAAGACGGCGACAGTAGATGGTTGTTTGGTAACTTTGACTTCTGTCCTTCTGTTATTGCTAATGACAGGTTAAAGAGTTTGAACAGCTACTTGAAAAAAGACAAATGGAATTTATGAGATAAGCACAAGTCAAAGACGTCAATCGCTCACGCCCTCGATTCTTCCTGTTACGGTAAACACGACCAGTGAAACTAGTTAAAACTGTTGTAAGCGATGCACCAGACAGCTGTTTGTGGTTTGTTGTTAGCTGTGACTCCTTAATAGTGCTTCACTTAACATAATAAAAGAAATAGTTTCCTTCCCTGGAGTGGGTTTGTACAGGATTCCTCCGACCTCGTCTGCACCCAAATTAGAAATTCACAGCAATGTCCCAAGTTATACATAGTAAAATTTTGCTACAAATACTAAAAAATTTGGGCTGTCAAACCTTTCAAATGTTTTAATTGAATTAATGTTGATTCATCAAAATATGCTAAAGTATAACAAAAATTTAACTTCCTGCAGCAAGGCGTAAAGAGTAGGCTGCGTTATCTCAAAAAGTCACCGGTCGTACCAAGATAGTACAGTAGGTGGCGGTATGCACAGAACGTGGGAAGAACTTCTTGCTGAGTGCTGAGGTGGTATTTTAACCCTAAGGTTCTTCAGAGAAACGAAAACGCTTCCCCACAGTGCGTCTAAATGACAGCATGTATATGACGTGATGAACACGTTAACATTTTAATCAGATTGCTGATTCAGGACTGGCAATCTCACATTGACCGGCTTTGGTCACTCATTACCTCAGAGCTAGAGAGGATTGAAGAACGTCAATGGTTCTTTTAGAGACGATACAGTGTATCCGTACAAGAACCCAATAAACCTGAGAACGTTCCCTTGATGCTGTGCACAACGACCCTGTTGACTGAAAAAAAAAAATTTCCCAGACATCAATTTGTCAGCCGTCGGACGGATGGAAACACATTATTCTTAATAAATGGTACGAGCCACTTGGCACTAAATAGATTAGAGGATCCGAGGATCTCTGTTGTGCAACAGTGCTTCATCAACTGTACCAAGCAAACAGTACCAGAGCACACAAACAGGACACGAAGGTCCTGGCTGTACTGTGTGCTGCCACGCCAAAGTGTGCAGCAGTTTTTCTATTTATTTGTTTTATAACTTATTTATTTGGAACAAACTGACCCGCTAACACTGACTTACACAAGCTAATAGCCGCAGCTTTTCAGGTTGCCCCCGTGTGAACCCGCTAATCCTCGACATCAGTCTGCCTCAGAGGCCGCTCCTCTCGCTTTTGATTAATTCTATCACCAGAGATTCATTACTAGCCTTTTTTTTCCGCAGCTCCAATGTGAGCATAACCTTGTACACCACCTCCTCCTGCTCCTCCACCTCCTCTTAATCTCCTGTTTTAAATACATAAAAACACACAATAAAAGCTTTGGTCGTCTGTCTGCTCCAGTGAAGCACTGAGGCTCATCTAACCTCCCTCACCCCTTCTCTCTCTCTCTCTCTCCCGTTACTCAAAGACCCAGGACGGTAACAGTAAAACCTTCACATGTACATTCACGCATTTAGGTGGTTTTTTTTTTTAAACTCTTAGTGGAATGACCTTGACACCAATTAACCCCAATCTGTGTGTTTTAGTCAAAGTGTTTGGCACAAAAACCCTGGTGCAGCAGCTCAGCAGTTTTATTTTTGATCTAAACCATGAGTCAAACTGGAATTGCAGTAAAATAAACTTTGGTCTGGATAGAAATTCAAACATAAACTCTCTAAAAATATGAATCACTGAAGTGTTGGAAATGGAGGTCATTGGTAAATGTCAGGACCACTGGATTCAACTTTAATAATATCAGGAGTATGTGTGTGTGTGTGTGTGTGTGTGGGCTTACTCGTTAAAGATAAGGTCAGGGGCAAAGTAGAGCATCTGTCCGTTGGTGTGTTTGTAAGAGCGCCAGCTGAGGCAAAAGGAGGACAGACACATCCAGGAGTACTGGATCAGGGTGATTTGGTCCTCAATGGGCAGGCTCTGGAAACCTAACACACACACAGTGAGACACAGGTTTACTAAAATACAAACATTTACACATCGGACTATTTGTATTTTTAACTTCCATCTCACGTTCTGATCTCCTCAACTCTCCAAACGACTCTCACGTATTTCTTTATTTTTGGGTTAGCTTGCATCACACAGTAAGTGCTCGTCACCGATTGCTAAAATAGTCGCCTTTCCACCTCAGGGATAAGTTAGCATATGTCGGCCAGACAGGCCCCGGTTTGAGCCGTGCTCTGATTGGTCAAAGTCACCCCATCACAGGGCAGGTTTGCTTGGAAATCCGCAGCAGTAGCATTAGCCTGGGTAGCCTCGGTAGTTCGCTTGATTTACAAACTTCTGGAAGGTTGTGGAATTAATGACTAATAACACCAACGATACACCTCCGTTTCAGGCTCCACCACAGGGGATGGTTTTTATGCAGGAATCTGCCCAAATTACACACTGTAGTCGAATGTTTTTTTTATATATATAAATATAAATTGTATGTTTTGTGCCAGAATTATTAGAAATGATAATCACTGAAAAGTTGTTTTTTTTTTTTTGTTTTTTTTTTTAAAGAAAATCCCATGTGCCCTGCAGTTATTGGCGCATTGTCTTCGGAGCACCAGAAATAGAGTGGAATAGGAAACTTGCCAGACTTTCAATCAAACTCTGGCAAGAAACTTCTCATGCATAATGTGGGCCAACTGAGGACACCAGAGTGACTTATCAAGGCTTAGGGACTATTTCTGCAAATATACGGCACAATCTGCCAAAACCACAAGCAGAAAATACAAATATATTGATAGAGAAGGTTCCTTTGGCTCAGCACTCACCGGTCATGTGACGATAACGGTGGCAGCAGTCTTTTTTGATAGGCGTTGTATTTTGATATCTGATCTGTATCCAGGCGGTGCTATTGGTCAGTGACTCCCTAATCTTTCCTTTGACACACTTGGTCCAGGGAGGTAAATGTTGACACTGTGCTTGGCTAACACACTCAGATGTAAAGTGAAGTCAGGCAGCATCGTGTCTGAAAGTCGATGGAACTCATTGTGACCCTTCTGTCTGGCTCCCCTTCTATTTATACGTCCGGATATGGCAAACGGACACCGTGGAGGTATCAAATATTTGCAATACAGCAAATGGAACGGGTTTAAAGAGCTACCTGTGAGGCTTCTTACAATGTGTCTCCCACTGAGGGGCGTCCACGGACACATCTTCACCTAGTTTGTTTCGAGGACTCTGTTCTCCCTTTGAATTAGCGTAAAAAACACAACGGGTGTGTGTTTTAAATGTGTGTGAATGAGGACTGAGGACGCAGAACGATTTCCTGTCTAAATATTTATAATAAAACTAAAATAAAATACAAAATCAAATGTGGGAATTACATTTTGTCTTCGCAAAAAGAAACAGTAAAAATATAATAGGTAGTAGAATATACTTATTATACTTGTGTTTAATAACACCGTAATTCAACTACTGCTCTACAACTCTCACAGTTACAATAAAAACCTTTACAGCTTTTGATTCACACACGTTTCCATTGATCTGTGCGGCCGTGTTTTTTTTTTTTTTTGCCTGTTTCCAAATGTGTCCTAAAACACTCATTAATAGCATTTGGGACGCAGCCATGACTGTAGTCGACACTAACCTGGAAGTACTTTGGCCCATTTCACCATGCGCACCATCTGCTTTCCGGCCAGGCTGTTGAGACTGGACAGCAGGTGGTCCGTGGTGTCCGGCTGCGTGTTGTCATAGCCAGAGTACACTTCTTCAGGCTCGATCAGCTCCAACACGGTTCCGAATGAGGGCGATAGGATCTGTGTGACCAACCCGGGTCTGTGGGACACCAGGGCACTGGGGGGCGTGCCATCCTGCTCCTTCCCTGAGGACAGGCCTGTTGGAGGTTCAATCTTGGTGCCCCGAGAGATGTCCTTCGATGTTCCTATCCTTTTGGTTTTTCGCGCTGTGGGGTGACACACACACGACCACAGGGTTGTTGTAATTACAATCTCAGGTTAGGAGTAAAACTGTAACTCTGAGGAAGCACATTTGGAACAAATAATGTTTTTAAAATCGTAACGCAGCCGCAGCAGATATGTCGATATTTGAGGTTGAGATTAGATTGGATTAAGTTATATTGATCGCCCACTGAGGAAACTGACATTTTGATGAAAAAAGAAAAAGGGAATGACACATAGAGGTGAAAAGATAGCAATTAAAAACAGAATTACCGTGCTGAGGAGGGAAATGGAATACTAATAAAAAATATAAAATACTAGTATATATATATATATACACATCTAAAACCTGCACTCAACTCACAGAGAGACTGCATTTATAGCACCCCCTGCAGGGTTTACTGCAGGTTTATTACATCACCCAGTTTGTTTTTTTGTTTGTTTTTATCCGTAGGTTTTTATGTTTGGAAGTCAGTGTGCAGACATCACTCTTCTTCCCAGTATGGCTTCCAGTTCACTTCATTGTTGATGCTGCATGTTGTGTTAAACATCTCCGCTGTCATGTCCACGGACCAGACTTCAACCAGCAGCAGCAGCAGCAGCAGCAGCAGCAGCACTGTTTCACATACTTTTCTAAATAATGAATTGTCTTTTATTGTCGTCTGTGAATATTGACGATTCACATTGTACTCTTCTCACTTCAGTCTTATTCCAGCACACGTTGATTAAACTCAGCCTTGGTTCAGGTGGAACTGCAGCCAGAATACAGTAAGACAGACAGAGTGAACGCACGAGCCAGGTTGAGAGCTGCTGCTGCTGTCGCTGCTTTAAGTCTGCGAAGCCAATTTATATTTTATTTGTGACACTGGGCCATAAATAAAATTGATTTGAGGTGGAAGCTGACAGTTGTAATGCTTTATGGACTGACAGTTTTTATAAAGCAGGGCAGTACTTAAAGAAAGGTCACAGACCGGGTCCAAAAAAATCAACAACATCTGACAGTATTTAATGTTTTCTCCGTCAAATACACGTAAATTATCTCACTGCAAATCCGCAAGGAACAACCGTCACCTAGTACGACTGAGCAGCGCCCTCTACCTTCATACTGACAAAAAAATATAAGTACACAGATACATTTAATTTGTGGTCTGCCCAGGTAGGATGAGTTTAATATAATCAAATTTACTGTAATAAAATACATACTTTGAAAATGTTCAGAAACATCATCAAACATCTAAACTGACACTTTTTCATTGTTCTTTCAGCCAAATTCTGTAAATGTTTTGTTTGGAGAGAAGTTAGTTTTATATCAAACTAAGGAATGCTGTTCATAATGCAGGAAGTAAAGTTTTTTTCTGAAGAGAAGACAGTTTTATATCAATATTCTTCACTATACGATATAAGGAATGCTGTTCATAATGCAGGAAGAACTGCTGTTACATGTGGTGACTTTTACCGTCAGGTCAGAGAACTACAGATATACATATATACCACTGTATACATGAATCTCTTCCAAGTCAAACTAAATAAAAAGGTCACTATTCTGCTTAAATCTGAATTTAAAAAATAATAATTCAGGAATTCTATTTTTTCTGCCCCGTTATTTGTTGACCTGCGATTTAACAGTCTGGACTTCAGCGCAGGACAGACTTAGTGTTACGCTGTCGGGCAGAAGTTAATAAGACGAGCCAAGTTGGCCCAGACTCTGAACAGCTGTAACATTTATTTAGTGACAAACCGTCACTAAACACTACAATGCATTCCAGTGTTTCACATTTTTTACTGCTAACTCCAAAAACCTTGGCATCACACACCCACGCTCTCTTAGCTGCTACACGCCATGAATTAGGAATGGCTTTTTTCTTTTTTTTTGTTTACGTGCCACTGCTGTGTTTCAATGAAAGAAATGAAACAAATCATTTTATTGCTGAATCAAAGACTTACAGCAGCGGAGTGTGTGTTCTACAGTGTTATTTAACGTGTGCACGAGTGTTGAACGTCAGTGAGTGGCACAGAAGATTATTATTATTATTATTATTATTATTATTATTATTATCTAATTAATGTCTTTTCCTGGTTGGGATCATTGACGTATAATGGAGCTGATGTTCATTTGTAGCTTTAAATCATGCAGCACGTTTCTCCGTGCAGGTAACTGTAGATCTGCTCTTACTGTAGATGCACTGTGAACATTAGGGCCCAGATATATGAGAACGCTTATGTATGCAAACACGGACACACAAACATCCTCTGACTCAGCATCCCCCGGCACTCCAGTGACTACAGCGAGACCTACTTTTCCATATCTATTCTCCTTCTTTATAAACCCAGCCGGGCTGACTCAAATGTCACGTCACGTGACGGGGCAGAACTGCAGAGAGTCCGGTTGGGAGTCAGAGCGCCGCCTACTGTAGAGAGTTATAATACTTAAAGTGGACGTAGAATATACCTGATAAAAAAACTGAATAATGATAATTTCACAGTAACTTTTTACAGTCAGAGTCAACCTTGGTCGGTGTGTTTGTGCGGCACAGATTTGAACTTCTCACCTCCGAGGTTCATCCCGGCCATGAAACACTTCCTTACTCGACACGCCGGACAGTTCTTCCTTCGAATCTTGTCGATGATGCAGTCGTTGCGCCCGGCACAAAGGTAGTTGTGCTGACCTGAAGACAGACGACAGACGACAGGGTCAGATCGACAGAAAAATTTCCAAATTACAATCTCTGATCAGGCACAAAACCATCTATGCAAATTTCCCATTTTATTCGATGTCTGATTCTCCTTCGAGTATGGAGCAGACATCAAATTCCAAATGTATTTATATTTGAATTTTTGTTAAAAATACTATAAAAACTTTTTAAAAATTGTATTCAAATTCTAAGGTGAAATTTTAGCGTTTTTTTTTTTTGCATTTTTTTTAAGGTGGAGCAGCTCATTAAAAAATAAGAAATACTCTGGATGTCATCTTCACCCGCAACAATGTTTGACCTTGTTTCACTTATACAGTATATGTCAAGAGAGTATTGGAATTTGCTGGAATCCAGACGGTGGCTGCAGCCTGAATATTCCCGACAGTGATGCTAACATGGCGCGAATCCCTCCTGTCTCCTGCCTGGCCCTGAGCTAAACCCAATGATCTCCCATTTCAGAGCGCTTCCTTCCGCTCCACTAACTCTTCAGTGTAGCGTTCCTCTCCTCCTCCACTCTTTTCCTTTTCTGTGCCTGCATCTCCATCCCTCTCTTTTTTTTTCCCTTTTTTTTTTCCACACATCCACCAGCCTCAGAGCCAGCGCCATACGCCCACACACACACTGACAGACTCGCACTCGTGTGCACACACACACACGCTCACGGTCATTCACTTTCTCACTTTCACATACATGCCAAAGCTCAGACACACACACACACACCAACCAACTGACAAAAAAAAGTGATTTTAAATAAAAACGGCAAACGTTTAATTTGCCAATCCAGACAGAAATGCTGACTGGTAACAGCTGCCGTGTTACAGTGTGTCGTTACGGTGACCCCTCTGTGTAGATATTTGAGTATTGGGTTGAAATGAAGTGTATAGGGTTCCATACATTCCATGCATATGTCAGCGCATGAATCTGCACGGCGTGCGCAGATTTTTTGCAGAGATTTGACGCCGGTGCCTTTGGGCTGTTGTACACACGTGTACTTTGCTGAAACGTGTACCTTTTCCTCTGCGCGGGTTTTATCTACAGTACATTATTTATATTTGTGCAGGACTGAGCAGAAGTTGTTTTCTGAGCTAGCAGGAGTAGTGCGCAGTATGTCTGTCTGGCTGCTGCCAAAAGCCAAGGAACCGAGCTGCAGGAGGAGAGGCAGCAGCTGTAGCCCCACCACTATTTCTGGCTAAATCACATGACCGTTACATAAGCCCATTTTTCTTGCTCTAAAAAACAGTAAACTGCGACACAGGAAACACAACGCGGGCGTCCACTCCACCCCGCTCCCTGATGTGCACAAATGCACAAGCATGCATGAATGCGTGATGTGCACACACACACACACACACACACACAGTGTGTGGACATGACTTTTGGCTGATTTTCTTTGCTTATTGCTTTGAACCATGTCGATAGGTTAATAAGGTAAACTCTTATGGACCAAACTCAGTCAGTAGTTGCACCAACCGCCGTATGTTTGTGTGTCTGTGAACCTCAGGTTCATATAAAACTGTATTTTTACACCCTGACTACGTGACAAACATTATGACATTTTATCACAACAAAACTCCTGTCTGTCTGTGGATACAGAGGGAACACGCTTTTGGTGTAGATTTGAAAATAAAATAAAATACATATATATATATATATATACAGCTACTAGCATGTAAATAAATTAAAAATTATTTTATTTTATACTCAGATTTAAGAACTCTTGCAATAAAATCCTAAAAGCATCAACACTTTGGTCAATGAAAATGGATTTCTTAAATAATGTGACATTGAACTTAATAATGAAATTGCACTTTGTAATTGTCAGACCTTGGATTCGCCACAACTACATGTAAATTGGAAAGCATAGAGCAGAGAGTGGGTTTGATTCCCAGAGGGGTCACATGCTTGGCGCCTGAATTTCCAAAATTGGGATGAATAAAGTGCAAATTATTATTATTATTAATTATTAAATTGTTACTAATTAATTCATCTTTTCAATTTTTGCTTCAGTAAATGTTTGTTTTTGAGATTTTTATGAAGTGGAGAAACTGTGTAAAAACCACAGTGTTTTTTTGTTGTTTTTTTTTTTACAGAAACTGTACTGCGTTTGGTTTCGCTACAACACTAGTTCCAGCATAAAAACTTTTTTCTGATGAAGTCGACCATCATCGGCATATCGATCGTGATCCACAACAATCTAGAAGTCGGCAGCTGGGGCTCTCTGTAGTCTGTTTGACAGAGCACAGACAAAAGTGTCACTTAATGCTGTCTTTTAAAACACTTTGTTTCCACTGTGTGACTCGGAATTAGTTTGTGTTGTACTATCACTCTACAAATAGAGCAGCGACGCGACACACGTGATGGGATATCACTGAAGAATCACACCAAGTCTGTGTCAAGCTGCAAGCAAATGTCGTTTTTATATTAATAACTACGGGGGATTTTGTCGACTCCGGAGGTTGTTACTCATTTAAATTTATGCAACTGAAACTACATAGTAAAAAATGCCAAACAATGTGCACATCAAGCTTATCACAGATTAATTGTTGTAATTGGAGTAAGCGCAGTGCCATCGCTATGCAAATGGCCTAGCCGCAGCTCTGCTGCTACAGATTTCTGGACGCCGCACAAACAGCTGTGTTGGATGCGTTACTTCACAATTAAGTTTCTCTGTCTCGGTCGTTACGAGGGAGAAAAGATACGGACGTTTGAACAGGAGGGAAGCTGGTGTTTTTGCTAGCAATCTGCAGTTATATAATTTATATATAAGTAATATATATTTTTAAACAAAGAAGGCCTAAAGAATTTGACATTTGACACATTAAGGGGATTTTAACATTCCCTTTAACAAGGGATTCTTCTTTTCACAACAGCAATATTAACATATTAATAACAGAAGAACAACTATATTTTCAACTATATAGATTAGACTTTATTAATTGCACACTGGGGAAATTACTATGTTGGAGCAACAAAAGGCAAGGTATAATAGACTGTGCAATAAAGAGCGCAATTAAAATATATATTTTTAATGAATTACAAACCATATAACACAAATATAAATAAATAGTTGAAATGTTGCACCCTCCATATTGAAGTGCTGTAATCTGCATCAAAGCTACAAACTATTTTAATTTAGAAGGTATTGTTTGCACAGAAGAATAAATATAATTTTATAATTTATCATCTTTACTTTGAATGATTATTAATGATTCTCAACAATAACAAGGTCTGTCAGCCTGAACGTGTTTTTAATAAACGTTGCAGTTGTTGCTGCTGCGGAGTTAAACTACTCACATATATTATAATCAAACTGTAGACATTTTTGGGTTGCATTAAAAGACCCATTTTTCAGGCTGCATCTTCCAACCTAAATATCTATGAGCAACACATTATGTAACACGTTTGATGTCGGTCCTTGCATGTGCGGATCTCAGCACGAGTGACGAGTTTTGCAGGTTGTAGGTTGTTTCTTTTTTTTTTTTGTTTTTTTGTTTGGTTTTTTAACAAATGCCTGATGTGAGACGTGTTCAGGCTCAGGACAACACCGGTTCTGTTGATCTTCTCCAGCTTTTGCTACATGAGCCACACACACATACACACACACACATGCACATTCTTGAACCTGACCGAGTCTCTCCTCCAACCCCAAATCCCAGAGCGTTGTGATTGGACGTTGCCGCTGTCAGTTAACGCAGACGCAGCATGAGCCGTGTCCTCCGATGACCTCTCCCACAGCAGCCGAACAGAGATAAATATATAATAAACTGAAACAAATGCCATGGAAACCACAACTAAGACGCAGCTAGGATCTAAATGAGGACACGGCAAATGTCTCCGTAAACCCCGGGGTCAATCAGTGACCAGTGAAAAACCGCTACATGGGACTGAAAACATCACAGAGCATTAGAAAAAAAAGCAGACATGCCAAGCCAGTGATGACATGAGAATAATAAGCTGGAGTTCAACCTCCACATGGAGCCGTTCATTGAGTGCAGCTGTGTTGTATCAACAGACCAGTCTTTAGAGGAGCAGACGCAGGATTGGTTGTGAAAATTAAGGGTTTGTCTGTCAGGAGCCATTATTCAGCAGCGGAGGACAAACACTGACACCGAGGAGTTCATTCATTTTAATACAACCTAAAATTGCTTGCATATTTACGAGTGAGTCAACAGTCACGGTGAAGTGAGCTGACTGTGGCTGCGCTCCATCTCCAAACACCAGCCACGGTGCTTTCCTTCTTTTTTTTCTGACACAGCAACAACTGGCTATTACATTAGCATATTCATATTCACTTTAACCCCCGAGGTTACCAGTACCTCTCACCTGTCATATTAGAAATTTAACACAGTAATACAAGGAATAAACAGCTACTGTATTTTCTGGACTATAGGTCGCTCTGGAGTATAAGTTGCACCAGTGCCCTCTAGTGGCTGTCAGTGTAGAAATAACAAACGTGAAATTATATAAATTTTAATATATAAATCGCACCTGAGTACAAGTCGCAAACCAAACCAAAGGATGAAAAAAAGATACTCTGGAAAATATGGTATTTCACTGATTGATTAGCGTAAATAAAAGTCTCTGCTCGTAGCTTTCCAAAGCTCTAAGCTAAAAGTGGACTTTGAATCTCTCTCTCCATATATATATACACTTCTTAGGGCTAAAGTTCTCCAATATTTAGCTTGCAGTTAGCAGCACTCACTTTGCGATTTTTCAAGCGTAATTTTCCCTGACTGCAAATAGATCCGTTCTATTTGTAGACCATTTCTAGGAAATGGACCATGTGCAACCTCAAGAATGAGCTCCATTTTCTACCAAAATGAGGTGATGAAAAAAATGGCTATGTCGATGACACATCTGACTTGCGTAAAAGCTGAACACGGTCTCTTCGCAGTCAAATTATCCTATTTGATTCGTGATGGCTCCAAAAATATGAACTTAAATATTAACTCTGTATCGGTGGCTGGCGCTGAGCCAGTTAGTTGTCTAATGAGCTACAGCCAAGTGAAAAAGTTGCATCCCCCGAGGCAGGTGTTGTCAGATGAAATTAAGCACGGGCTGGATTATTCCCCATGTGCAGATGCCCACTCGATGCAGTCTTCTTTTATTCATCACATACCAAGTCCAACTTTCTAAATTTGAGAGAGAAAAACGAAGAAGAAGAAGAAGAAGGAGCGGGAGGAGGAGGAGAAGGAAGAGGAAATACTGGTGGAGAGGAGGAATAATGTGTCTCCTCACGTCATAACTTACACATTTCTGGTACTTACTGCTGACACATTACTTTCCGTCCCTCTCCCTGTCACACTCCTCCTCTCCTCCTCTCTTTATCTCTCTTTCTGCATCTGACTTTTTCTTTGTCCTTCCTCCACCCCTCCCACACTGTATCTGTTTCACTGTCCTCTATGCACTTCACTTTGCAAAAATCCTTCTCTCACTATTTCCATCCTGTGCCTCCCTTCACCTTACCTCTCTAGTTCCACCTCAGCACCAGCTTTATGTAGGGGTCAGATGAGGTAACAACAGCAGGCTTTGATGGTCAGAAGGATGCGCACACGTCACACGCAACCATCCACGGCATCACAACACGACGTGCCCTGAAGGTTACTCTGGGCCGAGTGTGCACGGTGCGCAGTCGCGTGCTCGCGCAGCATAAAGATTAAATCGGAAGCATAAAAGCTACAGAAGAGTACGACAAAAAAACATTTCACAGTCAACGAGTCACTGCAGCCTGAATGGAATCATCGGAGAGGGCCTCCAATGAAAATCACTCAGCATTGAGTCCGACCCAGTATCTGCTGTCAGCGCTCTGCTTTAACACAGAACAATGACATGTCTGATTTGATAACCCTGAACACATAATCTGGTTTTCATCCTCCACAACAATAACGTGTAAATATTATCACATTAAGTTCCAGGGTTTGATTGGGGAACGAGTTTAATTTCACCCCCAACGGTCAAGAAAACACCCCGAGGCTCAGCAGGCTGCTTTGTTTGCCTTTTTCCTCTGGCTCTGTAAAGAGTGTGTTTTCATTTAAACATTTATCTAAATGATGGAGAGGAACACTTCAGGCAACACGCAACGAAATGAAAAGCACATTATGGTGCACTTGATTTTCCCCATTCCATAAATGGCTGCTGAGGGAGAATTGTCTGTGTAATGTGTTTTTTTTTTACCTTTTTGCCACAAACCCTGGTCAACGTATAAATGTAATGACTGTGACTGGAGGGCATCGCTCGTACAGTACATGTTACAAACACAGAACCTGCTGAGGTTTAGTTTAGAGCGGTGTTGTGTGATGAACTAACACAGTAGCAGTGAATGCTATTACTGTCTGCCATTAAGGTGAGTAGTTCCTCACCAGGTTTACTATTTCCTATTTTGTTTATTATTTAAAAAAAACAGAGTAATTTATATAATACATTGTATACACAGAAAGTATATATATTTATATCAGGACTACAATCCACACAAATCTTTGATCTGATTAATCACGATTAGTCGTGATCGTAAATAATCTCGATTATTGCTTTTGTATGTGCTAGTTTTGTTCCTGTCGTCATGACACTGACGGTTCAGTCTGGTGCATTTACAGTAGTGTTTGATCAGATGCTCAACACTTCCCTGCGGTGTATCACTTTATAGCTGCGATAAAAAAAAATTAAATTAAAAAAATCAGTTGTTGCATTTTAATTGTTTATACGTGTTTATCCAACTCTGTGCACCAGCTGCGTTAATTGTTCCATGTGTTTCTTTCTTTCTTCGTTAATGATGACAAACGGCTCGTACTTGTCTGTCGTGTGAGATGTTCTGTCACATTTCACTCATCAGTTTTATCGTGTCGAGGTTCTTGTACTTACTGTAGTTCCATACTGAACCCTCACTTGTCAGAACTTATAAACCAAACGTATTTACACACATTATCACTGACAGGTCCCATTTGGAAAAGCTTTAATCTTCCACCAATAATTTTAACTTCCTTGGCATAAGGTGCTCCCCGTGAAGCACCGTTAATGAACTGAGCTGAACGTCTGCCAGTAACCCTGGAGACCACTGTAGTCAGTGAAGACGATATCGTCTGAAATTATTGGCTATTCACCGAATCATTTGTGGGTCTTTTGGCATTGTGTAATGTGAAACCTACAGGATAATAACTCACTACTGCCTCAGAAGGGAATGGGTTTAGAACCTAGGTTCAAACATCTAATGTTATCATGTAAAGAAAATATGTCTGTTAGAAACAGGAGAAAATAAAAGAAACAAATAACTATATTCACAGCTACAGTTAATAACAAATGCAATCTCATCATAAAAACAGAAACATTTATTTTAGCTCTAACACTAAAACAGTGTAGATATGATTCTAGAAGGTAATGCAGGCAGTTTTATGTAGCTTTTTGTCAACAATTGACATCAGCTGTTTTACATTTATCGGCAATTTGTGTATTGATTTATTTTTTTTAAACTTTTTTACTTAACTAGTTTTCCATGTTTAAATAAAAAGTAGTTATGTAGCAGTTATTATGATAATGAAAATATTGATCAATTATCGTCATACTGTTTCTGGCTAACCTGTTAACTGCTAACATGTCAACTGCAAATAGCCTTAGCCACGAGGCTAGGAGGCTATTAGCCGTAGAGGATTTTGTATGCTGTATATGTTGAAAAAAAAAAACAAAACACTTCACTTCCTGTTTACAGTACAGTTATAACTGCAGCTCCAGTACTGCGATATCTTATTTGAACAAAGTTTATTGCCGTACCTTCAACAGCTCTTTTGAAGAAGACTTTGCAGCTTCCACATGTCACCACCCCGTAGTGACATCCTGACGCCTCGTCTCCACAAACCAGGCAAACTTTGACGGTCGGGGACGTTTGTCTGAGTGGTGTGCTGAAATGACACGAAATGTTGAGAAAAAAAGTTTTAGTACTACATATAAAAAAACAAAGGTCAAATCGAAAAAAAACCTCTCTCTCCCTCCTGTCTGTCTAGCCACTTAATACACAGTTTGAAGCACTCTTTAGTTTTTACAGCCCACAGTACAGTAGGAACATAATGTGGTCAGCCATAAACCCAGAGAGGAGCGTTTTACACTACAGTGATTTATAGTTTCACCGGGCGTACAGAGGTGACAGTGAAAGAATTATGGAGGAGATCATTGGGATTCTTGAGGAAATAAACACACAGCACGCAGTCTACTGTAGATATACAGTATTGAAACAAATGATTTACTTGGGCATCATTTATATTGTTTCCCAAAGACTGGGTCGCGACCCTCAGGTGGGTCACAAGAGTTTTCTTTTTGGGTCCTCTCGCATCATGTTTTCCAGGAGTTTAAGAATATTGATTGATTTTTTTTTTCTTGAATTTCTGCCCATTATTAACTATTAGTTTCTATGTTATAAGAGACAACTATTTAAGATTCCTTTTTTTTTCTGTGGACCCGTGGTTTGACGGTGTAATTGCTGAAACATTGACTATACTGTTGACTTCAGACTATCATCCATTCACCTTTATTTTCTGTGGACCTGTGGTTTGACGGTGTAACTGCTGAAACATTGTTGACTTCAGACTATCATCCATTCAGGTCAAATACATCGACTAGATTTCACATCGTCACCAAACAGTCTCTGAGACAGCTGTGTTCAGCTTCGTCGAGAGTTCTTTTCTACCATGAGTAAGCGTGTTAATGAGTGATTGTCACTTCAAACTGCCACGAATCAGGCGGAGCGAGCGTTTCCGTCACCTCGAGACCGAGGTCATAAAGTATTCATACTGTTAAGCTGTGGCTCAGTTTAACGAGAGGGAATAAACAGAAGAGGCGTTCGGTGTTTGTTTTTCTCTATATTAAAATCACTTCCCTCTAAACACTATGGAAATAACTGAAGCTGTTTTATTTGTTTTTTTAGCAAATGTAACAGAGTGTTTCTTTACGTAGACACCTTGGGACTAAGATGGTTCCAGAACCATTATGTGCCTTATGTATGTGGAAGAAACAGTAGGAAAGGCAAAGAGCTGATATGGTGTCATGGTCATATGGGAAAAATCTAATCTCTGGACGACGAGAACACATGACACGACACGTTACTTAACAGCAAGAAAAACATGGCTCCAATAAATCAGTGGATCCCGTGGTGTGTGTGTGTGTGTGTGTGTGCGTTAAAGTTAAGTTTAAACAAACAAACAAAAATCAGGACGTACATATTCAATATTTGACGCGCTGATATTTTTTCAAATTCAAAACACAAACAGAGAGAACACAACAGATGGGTACAGAGACGGAACACGTTGTATCGGAACATTAAAAATGGCCTCAGCTTCACATCTTTTCTCTGTTAATTACCTCTCTCCCATCTCAATCAATAAGATACAAGGTGATTGTCTGGTTAACATTCTCCTTACATCCTTCATCAAACCAGCTGCCAAGCTCGCTCTCACTCTCTTGCTCTCCCTCTCCCTCTCTCTCCCTCATACACACACATTTCCTCCAGGGGACTTGCTGAAAAGGGGCACAGCAACAGCATACTCAGATACAATCAGGACCACTGATCTAATTCCCTCCTGTCCATCTACACACACATTCAATTTGTTAGGACGTTTAGAGGAGTCTCTGGTGGGGTGTTTGTCTGACTACATCCTTCTGGCACCAGGCCTCACCGTTTCGGCTAATATGAGCACAGGTTTGTGTCTGAATCATGCCAAGATGTCATGTTGGGCACATCAGTCTGATTATCATTCACCCAGATTCACTTCAGTGCTGATGTGATCTGTGGCTAATTGGTATACAAGGAAGGGACGTAGGTAAAAAGATCCAGGATTTGACCAGCTCTTGTTGCACTGTTTCCCAAAGACTGGGTCGCGGCCCTCAGGTGGGTTGCAAGAGATTTTTTTGGGGCGGTGTCGTCTTGCATCATGTTTCCCAAGAGTTTACGATTACTGTCTATTGACTTGGGTCGCGAAGGTTTGTAACAAAAGTTTGAGAAAAAGTTTGGGAAACACTGTCTAATTGGATACTTCCAACAGCAGCCAATCAAATATATGAGTCATTTTATATTTTTTTTTCCTGCAGTAATACATGTGTATTTTAAGTTGGAAAGTAAATGCAATTCATTTTTTTCTTCAGTCTCTCTGGCATCAAATGACGACATGTTGGTTGGTGACCTCTGAGCTGAAGTATGACTGTATATATGACTCTATCAAAACTGACAGTGTTCAGCACAGAGGTTCTGGATCAGCTAATCAATTAAGCATCGACGATACGTGAAGAATACTGATTAATCAGGGTTAATGAGTTGATGAAAAATTATTTAAAATAAATGAATTATGCAAATCTTCCCTGTCTGCAGCCTTTGGCTGTCTCTCTTCTAACACCAAACACTAAAACCCATTTGCTGTCCAGGCATGTACTTCTGTTGGTCCAACAGCAAGGTGACCTCCCCTCCCTGGGAGAAGTATATAGGTCACTCACTCTCTCTGCTTATGAAACAGAGCAGACAGGCCAGGCTGCAGTGACTGTGCACCAAAGGCTGCCAGTAGCCCAAAACTAAATACACAAACAGACGTTCCCAGATCCGGCTCCTTCCACACTGATATTAACATATTGATGGGAAAAATGTTACGAGTTACGAGTTTGAAAAGAATAATTTAACAACAAAAAAATAGCCCTAATAGAACATTAGAGTCCAAATGTAGTTTGAGCCACTGTTGTTCAGTGACTTCAGTGTTTTTGGAGCGGCGTTTAATGGAGATGTTAAATTAAACCTCCAGTTAATCCTTAATGTTGTCTCCTTTTAAAAAGACCAACATTTTATCAGGACTATCCTTCACTTTGACATGCACTCTTGGCTGCGGTACCACTCTTGGCCTGTAGGTGCTGCCTTAAAATGCTTTTCCATCTTTCATAGTTATCCTTGCAAACAAATTGAAATTCACTAAAGAAAGTTAAGTTAATATCTATTTGACCCACAAAAAGTTATTCAAGTTAATATCTATTTGACCCACAAAACAGACATGTAATAAAAATGTAACATTAGAAACTTGCATTAAAAGGAGAATTCAGAGTAAAACTGTAGCAGATCACACTGTGGACTGATGCTACGGTGAAGTAGAAACAAAGAAAGGAAGAAGCCCAAACAATATTAGCGTTCCAAGGAACAGTTCCAACCGCGGCCTGCTCCATCTCTGTTTCTCTGGAAACAGGGCAACAGCAGACTGCTGGTGCCAAGGTTGCAGTGCCTTGGAGGTTATGGCGTTCTTGATCTTGATAAACAGAGTCCAACTGCTACTAACTGTGACAGGTGAAGGCCAGGAATTCAACGTCCTTGAACAACATGGAGTTAAAATCCGCCTGCAGCTAAAGGCGTCATCTTTCACTGCACTCTTAAGACACGGAGTCTGAGAGCGGAACGAGTCGACCTGCAGAAACAATGCTGACCGGTTAGGGATGTCGTTAAGTTCTAACAGGCGTGTTTTGATTTGAAAAGGTGTGTGGGGGGGGGTTTCGTTCACTTAAACACACTTACAGTACAGCACATGACCAAAGAGCAGTACTGTCTGGTCAACAAATATTTGAAGAACCCTAAAATAATATTGTCTCCATGACTTTTGAGCCCAGACTGTGACTTTTGTTTTACACTGACCTCCTTTCTACTCCTGGGTGCCGTGTGAGACAAACTGAATGGGGCTGACTGCAGGGATCAAAGTTTTCATTATTCACTCCAGTTGTTGGACGGGGGACTATTTTCCCCCCTTTCTACAGAAACCCCAGGGCAGCGGTTTCATTGTTTTCAGTGTCTTTTCATCTTTAAAGATAACACACAAAGCCAACCACAGATTTAGTTGCTGTTTATTTCTCATGAGGACACAGATGAGTGCATGTACACAAAGCCGGTTTCTTCCCACCAAAAAAAAAAATAAAAAAAAATAAAAAGTACAGGCAGGCGTCTGTATCTCCTGCTAATGCTTGTTCCTGGCTTTTGTGGAGCTTTGTGGAGCAACAGGCTGCTGGAGAGGGAGCATTAGTGAAATGACAACGGAAGAGGAATGGGAACGCTCCAAGCCAGACAGAGCCCGACGTGCCCACTGAAATGGTACACGACAAAACTAGCGCATAGACAGATGTTTGGGCTCATGCATTTTGTTTTTTTTTAACAAGTCATTTGGATGTAACACCGGGAGCATTCTTCAAATGTTTCAACATCACCACCCTCTTTCAGCTGCGGGAGGAATGCTTCATCAGCAACAAATAACACCAGAAGAGAGGCGTATTTAAGCTAAGGATTTAGCGGAATCAGAAAAGTACTGCCTCACACCGCTCGCTCGCTGTCGTCGCATCGTAGGAACAAGGGTCAGAGTTTGTCATAAGAAACGTCCGAGCTGCAACGATTGTTTTTTCCACATAGTGGAACAGTGAAGCTAGCGAAAAGTGACAAATCAGAGATGAAGAGGAAGTGGGGGCGACTGTTGCTATTCTGAGGTTATCAACATAACATCATTATGGGTGAATAATAGTCCTTGAGACGGAGGAGAGCAGCAGGGCCCGCGTGGTATGCCTGAACACTGTGACCCGCATAAGTACATTAGCATGAAGGAGTCAATGAGCAAGGCAGCTGATAGACAGTATAGACACTGTATACACTCGGAAAAACAAATGTTCTTGTCATGCATCCACCACAAACCTAACAAATGTGTGTGTGTGTGTGTGAGAGAGAGAGGGAGAGAGAAAGAGAGAGAGAGAACTGTTTAATGGACTGTATTCACATTTGTACATTCGCTGCTGCAGGTCACTTTAAGCAGATATTTAGCCACTTGCACAAGTCCTTCATTCTACACACTGGTAGCATAGCCGTAGATGACCTGAGGACCACCGCCTCTCTGAGTCCGACCTTCAA